AAATGTTAAAATAAATTGCAAGGCTATAGTCCGGTCGTGCTGACTGGTGACATTTTTGCCTGACTGGTGAGACACCCTAACATTTTTCTTCAAGCCGTGTGTGTGTGTATTATTATACAGGATTTATAGAGCGCCAACACTTTGCGCAGCGCTTTACATTGAGCACTCCTGGTTATAACAAAGGACAAGGGAGGGGAGAGGTGTGCAGACAGACCTGCCTGGTCATTTTGTCCCCTTTGAACTCTTGATGGGGGCTACGGTGCGATGTCCTTCAGACTCTGGAGTCCGAAAAAAAGGCCAGACTAAAATATTGCGATGTAATGTTTATGGGCACCATCAATGACAGGGACAGCTGGGGGTTGTTGTAAAATAAGATAGATCAGAGCAAGGTCTAAATCCACTTTTATGTAACATCTATCCTTTTTCTGATTGATGTCCCCTCACTGCACCCACTTCTACACAGCTCTTAACATAATGATCAACATCTGTTTAGAAGACCCCCAGAGGCCTTTTAAAATGTCCCACATAGGGAGGGACCTTCCCACAGGGACACGATGGTCCTCAGAAGTCTTTCATTGCCGGATTCCTCCTATCTTCAGTAAATCATGTCCCTTCCTGGCTGATTTCCTCAGGGTAACCTCAGTGCCGCATTGCTCTTGTCACCATAACAGGCCGGGTCATGCATGCAGACACCACAAACCACGGAAAGAAGCTCGACTCTTCCAAGAAAACATCAAGCAAGGACCTCTTTAGACTTCTTGGAACGTTTACTGCATCTCAGCGTTTCTTCCAGAAGATAAGGGCCCAATCAACGTCTGCTCTTCAAAACACATGCATGTTTAATACGTATTTTTTTTTAAAAGTGCGTCTGTCCAAAAGCCAAGCTTAGTCAGTCCCTGGCATCTTAAATTAGTTTAATTCTCCAAAAGCGAGATCTGCTTGCCATGATTCCTGACTCTGTTCCTTCACAGATGGGGAAATTTGGGTGTTAAAGTGACAAGAGGATCTGGCTAAATAATTTTAAAAATATACAGGAATACAAGGAACCAGATGGACGTTGTGAATTACAATATATCTAAAACCAACATTTTTATATTGTTTTTGTGATATTGTAGGTGAGCATTAGGCCTCATTCACACTGGAATCGGCCTGCGCGTACAGCTCCGTGCTGCGGCGCACCGAGCAGCTCCCGGGAAGTACTGTGATTAGTACGCAGTCCTTGTCCTTGCTTATAGGAGTACGCAGCCGTATGCCCCCCTACGCTCACCCGCCCGTGTGGGTGAGCGTACTCGTACGCTGACAAGATGTATCCAGTCTGTGTCCAAGCCAGGAAACACGCACCCCTACGGACCTGCACTTGAGGTGAGCGTAGGGGGGCGTATGGCCGGGTACTCCCATAGAGCAGGACGGGGGCTGCGTACTAACCACACGCAGCACCGGTCCTTCCCGGGAGCTGCTCGGTACAGCCCTGCAAACAGCACGGAGCTGTATGTGCCGGCCGATTCCAGTGTAAATGAGAGCTTAGGGCCTCTGTCCTCTTATAGAGATCTGCTCTCTTTATTTGTCCTAGTGACCATTGCCCTGGGACAGAAAGTGATTGGAAATCCAAACTTTTACAGATGTCTCTACAACAGAAAGAGAGGAAATCCCATCTCCCTGAGTGAGAACTGCCTAAGGGAGGATATCCACTCACTTTATGAATCTCTCTCACTTCCTGTTGTACCTCTTGGAGAAGAAGTAAAGGGAAACCTCCTCAAATGGGACAAATATCACAATAAAAAAACAAAACCAGTGGGATACATCGGGAGCCTTTCTCGACACGGACAGCACTGAAACTCACAAATCTTCTGGGCGCCCCGGGTTATCAGTGCAGCGATGTATAAATATGTAATTATTGCAGGTGGGTACTGAGCAGTGTCTTGTTTGCAAATGTTGTATTGTGTCTAGCTCAGGGACGTGTGGTCAGGGGAGGCAGAGCCTCACCTAGTATTATGGAGGAAAAAGCTGTCAGCTGCAAGTCTGAAGCTGACAGCTTTTTCCCCGTTCAGATCAGCTACTATCAGGTTACACAGAAGGGAAAGCCTCCCCGCTGTGTAACCTGTCACGGACAGAGCGCTGCCTGTTAATTACAGCTTTTGACAGGTAGTTAGGTTACGCAGGAGCGGGCTTCCCCACTGCTTGTGTAACCTAACTATTGAGGAAAGAGCTGTCACTTCCCCACTGCTTGTGTAACCTAACTATTGAGGAAAGAGCTTTGTTAGAGGCGTGAGCTCTGTGAATGGCTTTGACCAATGGCAAAGCACCATTGGTCCAAGCTGTCCAATAAAAAAAAAAAAACCCCAGAAGCCATCGACCTTGATGCCTCAGCAGTGACGAGCAAGTGAGGGACAGGGAGGCTCCTCCCTGTCTCCTTCACAATAGCTTGGGGACCGGGTTGGGGGCAGAGTTTTGGTGGGCAGGGGCGGAGTTTCAGCAGGTGGGACTTTGGCAGGCTGGGGGCGGGACAGGGCGTGCTGGGGAATGCCTCACCCGGAACCAACGGTACCGCACGTCACTGGTCTAGCTGTAACTATAACCTGTAGGAATAATTACATAAAAACCGAACAGCTCAGGCTAATAGCACATACCTCTGTCAATAGGTCTTGTGGTCACAGGATAACTGAAATTCCCTCTCTTAGTGTCTCCACAGTGGAGATTAGAGCCATCCTATGCAACAATGCAATGTCCACGGCCCTACTGACCAGCCTATCAATTGGCCTAGATATTGTCATAGAGGGGACACAAGACTGTGTCTATGCCCATGCAATCCGCAACTTTGACAAATCCATATTTGCACAGCAATTCGGGAGGTTTTGGAGTGAGACTTCTTTAAGCTGGCCATAGATTGCCCACATTTTGAGTAATGTGTGGCCCTGTAGGTACTATTCCATTCAACAAATGTCGATTTTTCAATTGATTTTTGTCAAAGGAGCCACAGCCGCTGTTCAAGAATTCTATACAATACAAAGCCCGGTAGGGGAGATGACCCTATTTACACTATTAAAAGGAGAACTATGGGGTTAAGTCTTTTCCCCATAGTTCTCCTTAGGGTAACGGGAGTACACAAACTAGCGTCCACCCGTCACCCTAGGCTCAGTATACCACAACCTGTATACTGAGACGCCGCAGCTGAAGCGGATCCCGACAATTGTGCCGGGATCCGCCCAGCTGCGTGACTGACAGCTGGCTCTGCCTATCTAGAGGCAGAGCCAGCTGTACCCTCCCCCGTCCGTTCTGCCAGTCAGTGCTGGCGGATCGGAGCGGGGAGAGGGGAATCCAGCCCCTCCCCTGTCACGGCAGAGAGCCGTGACAGGATCGAGAGGTGAGCGAACGCCGGTATATGTTCGCTCACCTCCCGATCTACTGAGCCGACATGTGACAGTCTCATTGTCACAGGTCGGCTAGAACTATGAGGATGAGTGGAAAGCACTCACCTCATAGTTCTCCTTTAAGCGCATGGCCAGCTTTAAGGTGAAGGTATGTGTGACGGCAGCTGCTTATGGTTCCCACATGTACATTTTCAAGTACATACAACAGAGATGATGGTGGCATTCTTTTTATCTTCATTCACACGTGACAAATGCAGTACAGTATTCATTTTGTACTATTAGGATACCTTTTCAGAAATGGATCAGACGTACCTGTAGTTCTTCTTCAGTCCCGGCACAGAAGCGATGCACAGGATTCGAGCGGAGCACACTGCGATACAGGCCTCTACCGTTGGCTCGTTTCTGATGCTTAGGAGGCAGACTTGACCCACATATCCATCGCTGTTACACACCCAGACCTCATGGACGTTGTCAGAACTGCTATGACTGGGGGAGGCGCAGGAGAACTGCCATATGAAGAAGAAGAGGGGTCAGTGAGGTGACACATCAAAAGATGGTCAGGATTATCCAGTAAATCAGCACTAAAAGACAGGAGGGTGTTAAACCAATCACAGTTCACTTAAGTAGTGACAGATCAATGAATGATTACATTTGATTGATTGTTATGGGTTTTTGACACATTGGCACTAGGGGAGATCCCACAATAATGACATACTGACACCAACGGAGGTCCCACAATAATGATACACACTGACACCAACGGAGGTCCCACAATAATGATACACACTGACACCAACGAAGGGTCCCACAATAATGATACACACAGACACTAGGGGAGGTCCCACATTAATGATACACACTGACACTAGGGGAGGTCCCACAATAATGATACACACTGACACCAACGGAGGTCCCACAATAATGATACACACTGACACCAACGGAGGTCCCACAATAATGATACACACTGACACCAACGGAGGTCCCACAATAATGATACACACTGACACCAACGGAGGTCCCACAATAATGATACACACTGACACCAACGGAGGTCCCACAATAATGATACACACTGACACCAACGGAGGTCCCACAATAATGATACACACTGACACCAACGGAGGTCCCACAATAATGATACACACTGACACCAACGGAGGTCCCACAATAATGATACACACTGACACCAACGGAGGTCCCACAATAATGATACACACTGACACCAACGGAGGTCCCACAATAATGATACACACTGACACCAACGGAGGTCCCACAATAATGATACACACTGACACCAACGGAGGTCCCACAATAATGATACACACTGACACCAACGGAGGTCCCACAATAATGATACACACTGACACCAACGGAGGTCCCACAATAATGATACACACTGACACCAACGGAGGTCCCACAATAATGATACACACTGACACCAACGGAGGTCCCACAATAATGATACACACTGACACCAACGGAGGTCCCACAATAATGATACACACTGACACCAACGGAGGTCCCACAATAATGATACACACTGACACCAACGGAGGTCCCACAATAATGATACACACTGACACCAACGGAGGTCCCACAATAATGATACACACTGACACCAACGGAGGTCCCACAATAATGATACACACTGACACCAACGGAGGTCCCACAATAATGATACACACTGACACCAACGGAGGTCCCACAATAATGATACACACTGACACCAACGGAGGTCCCACAATAATGATACACACTGACACTAGGGGAGGTCCCACAATAATTATACACAGTGACACTAGGGGAGGTCCCACATTAATGATACACACTGACACTAGGGGAGGTCCCACAATAATGATACACACTGACACCACTGGAGGGCCAACAATAATT